ACGACAGACGAAAATAATGATTTAATGTATGTTCTGTATTTGTATTGAAGATCCAGTTACGCATCCTCATCGTAGTGGCATCTTCAATACAAATGCAGAACATTCATTATCAGCTCCTGAACCACTTGCCGATTCATGTTTGGAAACTCTACGTAATATATTTGATGAAATATGGGACCCGGATCTAACCCATTCAGCCAGGGAAACTTCCAGAAAAGTGTTAATTGGTGAGTGAGTGAGTGAGTATGGTTTTACGCCGCTTTTAGTAAAATTCGAGCAATATCACGGCGGGGGACACCAGAAATGGGCTTCACACATTGTACCCATGTCGGGAATCGAACCCTGGTCTTCAGCGTGACGAGCGAACGCTTTAACCACTAGGCTACCCGACCGCCCCCTCCAGAAAAGTGTTAATTGGCACGGATCTTATGTCTGAAAGCTATAAACACAGAATGCCATTTAGAAAGAGGCCAAATGTAACAAATGTTATATTTGGGATAACACTTTCTTAGCAAAGTACGTGAGCTAGACTACCAGTTATCGGGCTTTCATTTTTGTAGAAGTCTCGGTGGCTGAATGTGTAAGATCGCAGACTTTGTGTGGTGGCGATTAGGTCCATCACTCTGGCAGTGTGGGTTCAAACCCTGGACGGAATTCAATCAAAATATGTACGAGAACATGTACTTTACTAAGAATTGTGAGTGAGTGAGTATGGTTTTACGCCGCTTTTAGCAATATTCCAGCAATATCACGGCGAGGGACACCAGAAATGGGCTTCACACATTGTACCCATGTCGGGAATCGAACCCGGGTCTTCGGCGTGACGAGCCAACGCTTTAACCACAAGGCTTACCGACCGCCCCTCTTTACTGAGAAAGTGGTATCCCAAATATAACATTTGTTAAATTTGACCACTTTCTAAATGTCATTGTGTGTTCATAGCTTTTCTCCACAATGTCCATGAGAAGATCACTGCCGTCTACTATCGTCTGTGGATTAAGCATGCCCAGGAAACCACGGACTCATTATACGAGATTGTAAAACGTCAGTGTAAGATTAAATGGACATTTCACACAGTGGTTTACTGTAAAAAGAGGTTTAAAACAGGGGTGCCTTCTTCTCATCCTCCACAGAACCCGGCCAGTTTAGACAGGTTCATTCTTTAACCGGTTTGTTCCAGTACTATCGTACTATCGTACTATACTCTCCGTTTCTATGGAGGGGTGCTGTTCCACATCTGAACAGGGAGAGGGCACACTCAAGTACGATTCAAAATTGTTGATTTTAGCGTTATTAACAGCTGAAACAACAAACTTGGCTATGAGGCCGTTATTTATCTCAAACAGTTCTCACACGTTAAGCTATTTCAATTTTGAGTGTACTCGTTTGATCTAGTTTTTCTTATGATACATAGCCTGTCGTATGGAACACTCGAACAGTTTATATGTCAGCCTCTGTGTGTTCCAATTGTTACATCTTGTATAGAAACGTATCACGTTTCCCCACAATCTCACTTGCGGGGGTGTCTACCCCATATCCCCGTGTTCAGCTGCATTTGGAGCGTTTTTTCACACCCATAAAAAAATTCATGGCTCGATTTTGTAATGTGCTTACTAGTGATACGTTGCTGGTCCCCCATATCGCTGATCCATATTCGATAGCTGACCACACGAGAGTGTCATACAAATTCAAATTCAAATTCAAATTACGCATTTATATAGCGCTACCTATCCAGACATACTGCCTGCTCAAGAGCGCTCAGTCGTATGCTCTTTTGAAGAGGATGGTGTTGAGTTTTGATCTAAAGGTGTTGACATCTTCAGATCCCCTGACATCAATGGGCAGTGCATTCCATAGAGTTGCACCTGCTTTTCGGAAGGTTCTGTCGCCAGATGTTGTTCTGCTGGTTGGTGGAACAGCAAGCTGTAGTTGGTTTGCAGATCTCAGTGTTCGGCCAGGTTGGTAAAGGGCAGTGAGTTCCTGGAGGTATACTGGGGATAGCCCATGGATCGATTTGTAGACAAACATGATCAGCATGAACACGATCCTGAGTCTCACGGGTAGCCAGTGCAGCTCTTACAGCACGGGTGTAATGTGTTCACGGGTGTACAACTTGGTGCAGGTGTTATACCTCATGCCGCCATAGAACTTGAATTTAGAGATAAGTAGTCCCAGAAAGAAGGCACCCCTGTTTTAAACCACATTTTACAGAAAACTTCTGGGTGAAATGTCCATTTAATCTTACACTGCATTTAACAATGTCGCAAAATGAGACGATAGCGTTATACATCTTTCATGTTACACCACGATCAGATAGTTTCTTCCATAGCACAAACCTGTCTCTATAATCGTTCTCCTTCAGTGATTTCCTGGTTTCGATGATAGATGGTAGGGCTGATACATTTTTGGGTCAGCAGCGAGGAGACCCTGCACATTTCCGCCGTGTTTAGCGTGGTAATTTGTCATGGTCCGTGGTTTCCTGGGCAGATATATCAAACACAAGCAAAAAATATATGATTTATATATTACAAGAAACGAACTTGATAGTCATGTAGAAACGCGAAGGTTCGAACCCAGAACTCGGTTCGAACAGAACTCAACAGAACTCAACTGTGAAAGCAGCAAATAACCACACAAGATCAGCGAATAAATTAACGAATTTTATTGAAACACACAGGACAAGGTTTACAATCACAAGATGCAATACAATGGATGAAATTAATGGATAGTTACTAAACGCGCATGCGCAGCATGAGGGTGTTCATTTCACCATACTGGAACAGCTAATGTTCGTTCTCTGGTGAGAAAGAGATGATATTGTGTTTCGATGAACATTAACCACTGGATTTTCTGGTCCAGACTCGATTATATACAGACCTACGTCATGAAGCTTGAATATTGCTGTCTGTCTGTTGACAAACAAACGATATTCGTAAAGAAGAAGCGCTCGTAAAAACACTTTGTGACAAGTGTGAGCGATATCGTAACTCCTGTTGAAGTGTCACATGCAGCGGAAAAATCTAGCTTCATGACATCAAACTTCGTTCAGTATAGGAGTGAGTGAGCGAGTTGGATTTTACGCCGCTTTTAGCAATATTCCAGCAATATCACGGCGGGGGACACCAGAAATGGGCTTCACACATTGTACCCATGTCGGGAATCGAACCCGGGTTTTCGGCGTGACGAACGAACGCTTTAACCACTAGGCTACCCGACCGCCCCCGTTCAGTATAGGAAAGGGGAGCCCGCGAATCAGTCATGTCATGTTGGCTGTGCGATTAGCAGGTAGTAATGTATGTAATGAAATAGATTGTAATCGACGCAAGTCAACACCAAGAACGGGGCACCAAAGAAACATGAGGGAGTAGGGGGAGGGGGCAACATAAAGTTCAAGGTAGTAAGACCCGTGAAGATTCGGGGTAGAGTTGGTCTTCAGCAACCCATGCTTGCCGTAAAAGGTGACTATGCTTGTCGTAAAAGGCGACTAACGGGATCGGGTGGTCAGGCTCGCTGACTTGGTTAATGCATGTCATCGATCCAAATTACGTGGATCGATGCTCATGATATTAAACACTGGATTGTCTGGCCCAGACTCGATCATTTACAGACCGCCGTCATGTAGCTGGAATATTGCTGAGTGTGGCGTTAAACAACAAGCCAACCAATTGCGCTAATCAATGCTCATGATATCAATCTCTGGATTGTCTGGTCCAGACTCGATTATTTACAAACCGCCGTCATATAGCTGGAATATTGCTGAGTGCGGCGTTAACTAACAAACAATCAACCAAGGGCGTAAGAAGACGGGCGATGAATGTTGCCATGAAGCTTCCACATAATGTTTTGAATGTGATTTGCCTGTGCCTCCATGATGACGCATTGCTGTCAATACTGCCATACAAAAGTACGAGTCCGTATATCCAATCTATTCCAAACGTATTTGTTCGCGAGTCCTTCAATAGATCATATGCGTCTGAATAACATGTAAATAATACAGTTTTGAGGGTGCGATTATAGAATTTGTTCGACACACAGAAATATCATGAAACCTAGTTGTATCTCAAGATAAGGGAAAATAAATATTTATACGCGAGCATCTTCGGTCATAAGGGTTAGCTATGTTAGTGTTAGGGTAGGTTACCCTTATCCACCCTAAGCCCTTAAATGAAAATAGTGGTGGTTCCAAGTAGTATTTACAATGGGTTAGTAAGAACACAGATTTCCCTCGGCGTGTTTGTGCAATTTAAATACTGCTTGAATAATAGTTTATGTATGGGTTAAGTGTCATTAAATAGTGAAAGCCCCAGTGTTTTCGTGCGAGTGTCAAACATATTTCTTGGGAGCATTTTTGTATAACATTTTTTTATAAAATTAAATACGTAGGCACAGAACGTAAGATTGGCATAGAAATGTCATTCTGGGAGAAAGAGCATTTCAGATTCTTTTTTATTACCGAAGGGACATACTCTTTTTCCAGATTAGTGGGAGCTCGAGGTCTGCTGTAACGGCCGCCTTTTATCTGTAGAACATGGCACATGTACTTGTGTCATCTAATTGTCGACCTACATATAACATACTGTAGTCATGTTTTCTATCTGTATACATTTTGAAGCAGCAGTAAAATATAGATTTACAGTCGAGGAAGTGATGGGTCATTCTTTAGCGTGTGGTGTCAGATACGCCTTCCTCCTTGTTCGAATGTATGACAAACAGTTTAACAAATGGCTTGGTGACATGATTTCTACAATTATTAACTGACTAATAATTGATTAACGAAAGTGTCTCCCTAATTTTTTGCATTCCCGTGTGCGTTCCCGTGTTTCCTTTGTGGTCTAATGGTTAAGTTAATCGGTAAAAGTATAACTACTCTTGAACCCATGGGTGTGCGAGTTCAAGCCCAGTTAACCTCAAAAACTTTTTCACATTCTTTTTTATTTTAAAGATAAAGCCTCTTTCTGGTACTGATCACATGATAAAACACAAGGAGGCTCCATGTTGGAAAAGCATGTTGTCGAATATGTCGAAGTTGGGCAGCACAGAGATGTAAGTAGAGTCATTTTTTGACAACTAACATATGCATATTATTCAATAGTACAATTGGCATACTCATGAGCATGTTTCTGTTTGTCTTGAATATTTAAGCATTGCACATGTATAAGTGTGCAAAATTGGGAATCCATCACCCTTATCGTCCAGAGTTACTTTGTAACATAATGTCAAAATTAATTCCCTCCACGCTCCGGGCATGGTGTGGCTGATTGATAAAACTGTCTATTCTACAAGTTTTGTATCACAAGATGTTGCCTTTGGTTGACGTCAAAGAGGCTATAACTGAGAGTGTGTGGCATGGTTGATATATGTTGTGCTGTAACCGCTATAAATAGATCAACGGGCCCGGACACCCAATATTCATTTTTGCCGAAAATCAACAAGTTTTCAAAAGGAGAAGTTAGCTCAACGCCTCGAACCATTATCCAATATCTCCATACATCCGACTATTCGCTGAGCAACCATATGTAGAATCGACATAAATTTGTACACAAATGTTTAGATTTTATAGCATTCTTTTTAGTTGTGTATGTTACATGGTTGTGAAGATCAGTGCCAGTGATGACGTGGGAGAATGAGACATTGACTCGCACACACGCACACACGCACACACGCACACACGCAAACACACACTCACACACTCACACACTCACACACACACGCACACATCGTCCTCTTTGAAACCTTGACGCTAGTATACACGTCCACAATTTGCACAATCACCCTGCTCGTCCAACACCAAATATCTGCACTGACACATTTCAAAAGTAAAAAATTCATACGTGTTATATGTGAGGTGAAGTGAAATTGGGTTTAACGTCGCGTCCAAGAGTATTGCAATTATATAGCGACGTGCATGCACGTGTGTGTGTGTGTGGCTGCTTGTACTAGAACGGACTGATGCCGATTTATAGTGCTAGCCCACTGAGATACCATGCCGCAGTTTAACAAGAATACCCCACTCAGACACAGTATACTGACTCCGAGCCGACCAGTCCTTGTTTTATCCCCTTAATGCCGAGCGCCAGACAGGGTAACAACAAGTACCATCTTTAAACGTCTTTTGGTATGACGCGGCCGGGGATCGAACCCCGGACCTTCCGCTCTCCGGGCGGACGCTCTACTACTAGACCACGGAGGCGGTCTGTGTTATATGTGAATAGCTGTGGGTAATATACATGTACATGAGACATGTATACATGGTAGATATAAGATAACTATTTTATGTAGAGAACATTCTTGACATACGTATATAAGATCTTCTTATAACATGAAACATGTTACAATTAACGTTTGTGGGGCACGGGTGGCCCAGTCGTTTAAGGCGCCGCGATTCGCTGTGCAGAGTTGCGTCCATTGTGCACGCTAGAAACCTATGATTGTGGGTTCGAATTCCGGTTCGCCCCGATTATGTTTCTAGGTTTGTCAGCACCATACCCGTGCTTGTGGGTTTCGCCGAAGTGGTAAACGTCTTAGACCTGCTGAGACGTGATAAACTGGAATACTGTTAAAAGCGGCGTTCAACCGAAGTCATTCACACACAATTAGCGTTAAACTTTGACAATCTCTATCGCCTGACAGCGAAAGAGAAGAAGCGTTCGTAAAATTATGTACTGTTTGTGAATCTCGTATCTTTCAGTGACGGCAAAAGCATGAATCTGACGAAGGGGTCAAACTGTTGTGGGTCTCAAAAATAATGAGAACAATGTCGTGACTACTTTGCAAGTGTCTAACAGATCCTAAATAAATATATCCCTCACATAATATTGGTCTCATACCATGGAGGGCTTGGGTTTGTTTGACACGCCTCTGCGAAATATGAATTTTTTTTATTGACATACATCACATTAAATCCCCGCTTCCCATTAGAATGTTTTGGAAGAACAGTGCAGTGTGTTTCAAGGAAATTATGGCACTATTATTACAACAATTACTATATCAAATACATTCAAATCATAGCTTATACTTAATTACGGGTGCACGGATGACCCAGTGGTTGGTGCCTATTTATTTATTTACTTTGCCCAGGGTAATTGAGCTATTATACCAGCATATATCATTTCCATAGTACTTGAAGGAGATTTTCTGTACTCTGTGTCTAAAACCAGTGACACCAGCCTGTGTATGTCCAGGTAACTTTCTAAAAGTTGCATTTGTGTAGTTACGTATATATGGCCCATACGATTTGTCATATTTGACCCCTTTGATATGCATATGAATGTTTTAATGCACTGGTCATCATATCATATTTTATATCATATCATTGACTCCTATGAATTTTTTGATGTACATAGTTCAACTCTGGACCTGACATCCCAGAAACGCCCCACGTTTCGCTGTTTGCGGGGACTGGATATATCCTCCTGTGGTTTGACAGAGAGGGTGTCTCTCAGATACATGGTTAACATTTAAGGAGAAAGCAGGACAGGGTCCCTAACCTCCTACCCCAGCTACATTAACTTAAAACAACAAATGTTCACAAGGATAATTTACATAAATACATATATACAGAACATTTACTGCCAAACTAAATTTAGAATCAGTCTTTTGACTTGTCTTTCATTAATGACATGTTGCAATGGTAGACATAAGAAGGATATGCCCACTACCACCGACAACTCCACACCACATCCCCAGCCCATCCTCCTCAATCCCCCACCCCCTTATCCTCCCCCATCCCCTTATCCTCCCCCATCCCCATCCCCTCCCCCATCCCCATCCCCATCCACTCTCCTTCGAGCCTGGACTTTTGGTGTGTTTTGATGTGAATTGTCTCTGCAGTAAATATTTCGGAACGACGGCTTGACCTTTTAAATGTTTAAATATTATATGCTCTTTATGACTTCAAGCGCTACTTAGTTTGGTACACACAGTGTGTCAATATCAACGCAAAATCCACAAGCGCCGACAGCTATAAAACACGTTCTATGTGACAGACAATATCAATAGAAAAAAGTGATTTATGTGAATATGCGTTAAATAACAGGGAAATATTAAACCGTCCTTTTTCTGAAGATAAAAAGTAAGACACAGCAACATGATTCACTGAGTTGATAAACATGTTATTGCACAGATAATTGGATCATCTAGCTGTACCAAACCCAAATATAACACACAGTGGTCATGTTATGTTATGATTAAATATGTTTTCTATGCGAAAACATTATGAAGCAGCAGTAAAATATACAAATATAGCCTAGAAGGAGATCATATTTTGCGCCGGTCAGATACGAAAGAATGTGTGGTGTCATATATGCTTTTGCCCACTTTTGCATTTTTGAAGCATACTAATAGTGTAGAGAACTACTTAAAAATAACACGAAGTGTTCCCCTATTTCGTTGCATTCACTGTTGTCGAAACCAGTTAAGGCTGAAACTGTTATTCAGAGTGAGTTAGTGAGTGTGGTTTTACGCCGCTTTTAGCAATATTCCAGCAATATCACGGCGGGGAACACCAGCAATGGGCTTCACACATTGTACCTATGTCGGGAATCGAACCTGGGTCTTCGGCGTGACGAGCGAACGCTTTAACCTCTAGGCTACCCGACCGCCCCCTGTTATTCAGAGAATTGGGCATCATTCAATATATAAGTGGTAATTAGTGACTAGCATATTCCTGCCAATACTTCCACCAATGGAACATGAACTGCATGTCCTCAGGCTACACGTGAATCTATCTAGGTGGCAGCAACACCGCGTACTTATTTTGTACAAACAGAACAATCTATGTATCTCTCTTTGTCTAAATGCATATGGGGTTACGGGTGGCCCAGTCGTCTAAGGCGTCGCGATTCGCTGTGCAGAGTTGCGTCCCTTGGTCACCCTAGAAACCTATGATTTTAGGTTCGAATCCCGGTTCGCCCCGATTATGTTTCTAGGTTTGTCAGCACCATACCCGTGCTCGTGGGTTTCACCGAAGTGGTAAACGTCCGAGACCTGCATCACTTCGGGCCTTCCTCCCACATTAAGCTGACACGCCACGATATAACTGGAATACGGGTAAAAGCGGCGTTGACTCACTCACTCACTCACTTTAAATGCATTTATTTCTTTGTTGAATAAATTTTGTAAGATAATCAAATTTGCTATTACGTCTCTGTTGTTGTAATATATGACAGAGTATATTTGTCCAGGTCAATCAATACTGACGCAGATTGCTCTATCCTCATAAGAAGATTTCTCCTGTGAAACATGCATACAATACCTTATCAAATATCTTAATGAAACGGTTTAATTTTAACTTTCACTTTCCGGAGCCTGGTTCATGCGAGACTTACAACAGCATATATGTGATCAATACACACAGATCTACTGAAAATAATAAAACAAATAAGTCACTTGCTTGAAGACGGTGTAAGAACCTACACCGAAACGTCGCTCCTAATTGTAATAAAAAAATTGTACATCCATATATCTAATCCTTACTAAGAATATACTAGTTGGTAAAAGAGTTTTCACACTGTGTTTAAAGCAAGATGCATTGTTCTTCGTTGAATCACTTTGGTAACCAATATCGCTGTGTGTTTTACAAGTTTCTCGTTCCGCACTGATGTTGACCCGGGAATGTATGACTCAGGTATAGTACTCTACCTTGTTCAATTTCTAATAGACAGCGAAATTATACTCGTTGTTCCACGATGAGATCTACTTATTACAGAGCTAACATATGGTTCTTCAGTCAGTGCGTCAGACCCTTAAACAGCACTGGTGGTGATGAATAGCCTCGGTACAAGTTACGCCGCTGTGAACACAAGTGTGTTCTACTTTCACTTTCGTTTCCCTCTCAGTCTCTCACCGCCACTCACACTCACTCACTCACTCACTCATTCACTCATTCACAGGCGTTTTTCTTAGTTAAATTACACGCCTGGTGACTTTCCGATAATCCCCCGATAGATGAAAGAGGTTTCTTTGTATAGCGCCATGCATTCAATGCACCCCTTTAATATCAAGACTTGAGCTTCAAACAATACATTCTTTGATGTCACAGATCT